CCGGGGGGGGGGGGGCAGCAGGGAGGGGATGGGTAAAGGTAGCTATGCATACGGAAGTCGCACGCGGCAATCAAGCTGGAGGTATACGGCACCGCCAGTGATTGCATCAATTCATCGAAAAATACCAAAAACAAGACGTCACACCCAGCGGGAAAAAAAAAACACGAAACCAGATAATCTGAAAAAAATAAACTGTATCCTAGCAAACGAGAACGCAACACCGGAATTCCCCCCCCCCCACCCCACCGGGATAGGCGTCGACGGGGTTCTTGAGCCCCCGGCCCCTCTTCTTCGCGATCCTCCTGTGGAACTGCACGGCGTCTTTCTTGGCTTCGGAGGCCGGCTGCGTGTCGCGAAGCAGGAAGCGGATGTTGTGCATGTCTTCGGCGGGATCGAATCGGTTCAGCTTGATGCCGATCTCCTCGAACGCGATGAGCATGGACACGAAGTCGTGCTCGCACCCGGCGTAGATGAACCTGGGGGGGAGCCGCGGAGCGGACCGCCGCAAACGTCAGTACCATGCAGAACGCAACCCGGGGCGTCCTCATGTCCTACGTGCCTTAGCTGCTAGGCCATTGACCACGCGTCCTCGAGAGGACTGAGCATTGTTCCCACCGGGCCGATCACCGGAAGGCGGTGGGGTGTGTGAATAGATATGGAAAACCTGGTGGTAACAGAGTAAATTTACATCACAGGCATGTTCCAGGACCAGAACAGCCAACTGCTCTTGACAACCGGGTACAAAAACAACACGGAAGCAGTAACCAGGAGCAACAGTGCATGTGACGGGAAATGACGCGTTGCAGGAGTGAACCATGAGAGCGGCCATGGTAGATAGATGAAAGAAGGAATCATGGTGCATCACTTTCTCGTACGGCTCGTCTGTGGACTACATGCACGCTGTTTCTTTCGGTCGTTACGAAGCACTGAAATTAATCACCGCACGGTTCTCGGGACTAATCCAAGCACCGTTCTTGTTCCGGACAAGGACGAAGGACTACAGTGACGTACCGGCTGAAAGCGATCCTGAGATGGTCTGGAAGCGTCTTAGCGAGCCCCCAGTCTAGCAGCACAGGCACAGCTGCCCTGGACCCGTGGTCGCGCTTCCCATCAGATCTCGACGAAGTCGCCGCCGGTTGCAAGAGGATGTTGCCTGGATAGACAAGCGTGGCGAGGACATTTTCGGCGGTTTGATTCACCGACACATCTGCCTGGGCTATGAAGAAACATAACGATGTTCTGAAGTCCAATTCTTCTGTAGAGTTAAGAAAGAACCCACTTCTTCTACACAGAAACTGTGCGGTGCGAAGCGTTGCTTTCAATTCATTGCAATTTGCAGGAGCGGCAGCAAACAGACAGCCGCCGTCGTGACAGATAGGCACCAAGCGCATTGCCTTTGCCCGTAACCGGCCAACCAACAGGCAAACCTGAAACCGCCTGAGTTTCATGCTATATCCCCTCCCGCTAAAGAATGGCATGTTCTGTTCCGACTCACTAATTTCGTCAGTTCACACACGAGCGAACCTACGAGAATTCAGCAGCTTCACACGGGCGCTACAATCGAAGACAAGCACCGCAGGAGGGGTGGAGGGGGAAGAACCCTTCTCCAAATCGGCAGAAATGCTATGAGCGCTGATGTAACAGCAGTAAAAATGTAGTGACTTTCATTTTCCCGTGTTCAAATATGGTACTGATTTGAGCTCCTACCCGGCAGAGGTGCTGCTGTGAGCTGTGAGCGCTGATGGTATGTGATGAAAAAAATGATCGTTGAGTTGTACGATTATCGTGGTTCACCGACCGCAAAAGTACTCCGTGTTTATGCCTACATACCTGGGTGCGGGTCCCCGTTGAACAGGCCGTCGATGTGAATCTGCTCCATTCCGAACACGAGGGTTGTGGGGGGACACGGCGAACAAAGAACGTGTCAGCGTTCTTAATCTCTTTCTTTGCGTCTCTCTCCCTCTCTCTCTGTGCGTCTGTCTCTGTCTCTGTGTCTCTGTCTCTGTCTCTGTTTCTCTCTCGCACACACGGACCTTTGTTCCCTCGTTTTTCTCACATCTTGGCGTGGGTTGCTGCCGCCTAATTTACTGAAAAAAAAAAATGAAAAACATGTGGGTTCCGCGCCCGACCAATACAAGCATGGGTAAGAACGGGGAAGAGAGGAGAGAGCATGTTCTCGACTAGATTGTTCAACTCGCTTGTGAAGGAAATCCCTTGAAATCATGCCTTGAAAACATGTATGCCCATGTTTCCTCCGAGAAAACGGAAAACGAAAAAACGAAAAAAAAACTCACGATTCATCCAGAACAAATCCGATCCCTTTGGTACATGCTTGCCTTGCGGAGCACAACAACACACAGCCAACGTGTAAACATTTCCAAAGAAAGGGCATCACGTCCCGCCGAGCCACGCCCATCTCCTTTCCTGGCTTCGGAAACGAAATCGGTCACCTGGTACGCGAAAGACTCGGTCACCGATCGCATAACGGCCTCCCGGTCGATGTCCACGGCGGCGAGGGCCTTGGGATCGGTCACCTTGAAGCCCTCGCAAAAGGTCATCACCACCACCTGACGACGAAACCATGACAAAACACCACCAGAGGAACCAGAGAAGAGTCAAGCGCAAGCCGAGGTTGGGGGGCAGGGTGATGAGACCCACCGCATCGGTTTTCTGATTCATGAGTGGAGACGCGTCACTTCAACTTGCAACATGGACACCATGGTTGTGTCTGAAACCTGACAGCAACCGCCTGGTTGGCAGGGTGCGGCATACTTCACCGGCGAGACAACCGCGCTACTCATTCGCTTGTTGACACGATCCGCAACCGAATCGCACACGTAAAGCGTTCTACACACAAAATCTACGATCACTTTCCCAGAGACATCGCAGCTACGCAGGGCCCGGAACAGTCCGACTCTACAAAGCCTCGACCTCTCACCAGCTACAACATCCTTTCCTCTTGTACCCCCAGACAAAAAAGACACTCGCCTTCATGCGCGTGAACTCTGGGACCAACTCCGGCACGATGACGTCCAGCCCCGAGCGCTTCATTGCGGCGCCGATCCTGTGAAGGTTCTTCGCCTCGCAGACGAAGTCAAGCTCCTTGTACGACTCCTTCGTCCACTCGTTCATGATCGGACTGGTGGCAGGGACAGACAAGCAGAAACGAGGGAGAGAGAGAGAGAGAGAGAGAGAGAGAGAGCGAGAGAGAGAGAGAGAGAGAGGGACAGAGAGTACCGGAAACCCGATAGGGAAGGCGTTTGGGGGCATAGCACCACCACGCCGCCATCATCACCACTGGCAACAGAAACAGGAGATGCAGCGGAGCAATGGATCCACGAAGGAAACAAGCGTACGACGCGCGAGGTAGTATCTATCTGCTGAAACTGCTGCTGCTGCTGCTGCTGCTGCTGTCTCTGCGGTGCAATCCTTAGTCGGAGCGCCAAAAACTTGTCTTCAAGACCCGTGGCCGCCCCTTGCAACGCCAGGCCTCCCTAAGAAACTCTTGGAACACAAAAAGAAGCCTCGATCCACAGCAGTACAAACGGACAAGCGCAACCAGCCCTCCTTCCAACACACCCACGGAATCGAGAAAAACACGCACTTACCGGAAGTCGTAGTCCTTCTCCGCCCAGGCAACCATCCTGACAAGGCGGCTGATATTCCTCAGGTCCTCGAGAAACAACTTCCTCACGCGTCGGTGCTGAACCTGTTCACGGCACAACACAGGTAGGGTCCGAGAGCACGGCGGCGAAGAGAGAGCTGGAATTAACACCAGAACGAAGCACGTGCTCACCTCCCCGTCTCCAAGAGAGACACCGTAAATCATCCGTATCCTACCCACTGTCCTCCTCGGCGATTTCACCGTCCACACGAAGGCACCGCCCTTTCCACTGCTGACAGTCAGCAGGCACCCTGTACAGAGCGTACCACACCACACGGGCGGTGCGACTGCTCCCCGCGATACACCCGTGGTCGGTACACTACGCGGGCGGTCGCTCGCTTGCCGGCAGGCACGCACACACACACGCACGCACCTTGATCACCGCCTCTCGCCCGTCCTTAAGCTTGCACCGGTGGACCTGCGCGACCGAGGCGCTGGCGAGGGCCTCCCGGTCTATCGTCGCGAAGAGCTCCGCCAGAGGGCGGCCCAGCTGCTCCCTGACGGTTTCGTCCACCTCCTCGAACGGCGACGCGGGCACGGCATCCTGAAGCTTGGACCTGCGCTCTCACCCCGAGCGGCGGACGGCCGTGTCAACACGCACGCGGTGACAACGAAAACGTGGCGGAAAGAGGGTGAATAGCGGACGACCACCGAGTGCGCAAGTGGTCTACCCAACTAACAGCTTCGCGAACAGAGACCGTTTGCAACACACCAGGGGGGAATGCGCAGCAAAATAACGAGAAGGAAACACATACCTATATAATGCACACGCCAGCATAATTCAATGCTCATGCCTCAAACCACTTCTTCCTACTGCGGGCCAGAGGGTAAAAAAAAAACTTACAGCTCGTCAAGGTACGGCTGGGGCATGACATCCGCCCGCGAGCTCAGATACTGTCCGGTCTTCACCCACATCCCCGCCACGTCAAGAATGCTCTGGTAGACGAATGGCGCAAGCAGCTTGTGCACGTCCGCCCACGTGTCGTCAGACTCGTCGGAACTCATGCCCTACACATGTAGCCGCAGGAGCGGGCATCGAAGGGCGATGGGTTCGTTAGGGATGAAACGAAACGCTGGATGAGATGACAAGACGGCCTATTGACCGGGACAAGGACGGTTACCAGAGCACGGGGCCACCAAATTTGATTTCCACAAAACACTGCATACGCTACCGGGTACTACGCAAACACTATGGTATCCTCCATTTCATACATGTCACGAAATGAAACAGGACAAGGGTGAATTCCACGGCCCAGGCCGCACATCTTGCAGCCGACTCAATTATGGTCATGAGTGCCCCGCCCCGCCCACCGAAGGAAATTTCACTCCCACGCGTTTGTCTCCGCCTCGCTCCTCATCTCCTCTTGTGGGCTCGTAGCAGTTTTGGCGAGTGAGCTTGGCGAGCAGAGTAGAGTCGCACCTGCGTGAGCGTCTTGGTCATCTTGAGGGCAAAAATAGCGGTCCCCGCGAGACAGAACGTTTTCACTCGCCGCAGGATCAGCCCCTCCGACCTCCGCTGGTGCACAATCAGGCACACCACCACCAACGCCATGACCGCCCAGTACAACGACATCGAAAGGTGCAGCTTGCCGCTGGGAGGAGCGGACCCGGGCTCATCTTGCTGAGGTCTCTGCTGACCCTTGCTCTCAGGCGGTGGCCGCTGCTGGGCGAGAGCGTGAAAGCGGGAAAGGGGGGCACGCCATGCGGAACGTTACGCCACATGAATCGACGACGATTCCTCCGCGTCACGCAGCTATCTCCGTCCGCGAGCGAAACGACCGCTCTACGCCACCTCCCCTTGCCGGCTTCACGATCGTATTTCCTGCTCTTGCCGTACGGTAGACACTGCTTGCTTGCTTTCCGGCCACAACGAAAGAAACCGACACACGCAGACGCCTCCCCTGGCCGAAGGCTTGGGGAAACAAGCAGAAAACACTTCACAACGTCCGGTGTACACGTGCGCGCACCTTCCCCTCCTCTTCTGGCATCGTCCACGATCCCTTGCTTCTGCCCCCTGCTGCCGCCGCCGCCGCTGCCGTTGCCGCTGCGGCGGACGCCGCTGCCGTTGCCGCTGCTGCAGCCGCTGCTGCCGCATCTTGGAGCGACCTAACACCACCGCCGTCCTTGGCCTCGGCGACGCACACGTCGCCCTCGGCGCATGTGGTGGGCGAGACCCTCACCCCAACCCCGGCGTCACCGCCTGTTCCCCTCGCAACGGTAGCCTCCTTACCCCTGCCGCCGCCGCCGCCGCCGCCGCCGGCATCACTGCCCTGCCCTTGAACCTCGGTGGCGGAAGCGGTGGCGTTGCTGGCGGGCAACAACGCTTCCGCCGCATGGGAGAACGCAAGCCCTGCGGCATCCCCCACCGCGGAGGAGAGCCTTGCCCCTCTCGCACCCACAGCCGACAGCGCGGAGGCGTCGACCGTGACCTGCATGCGTGTGTGTGTTCGAGTGCGACCGGCCGACCAGCCGAAACAAAAAAAAATCAAATGGTGCTGCTACTGCGATGCTGTTGTCACTGACTCTCCTTTTCGGCACAGGCTCTAATCTCTACACACGTTTGCTTGCCCAACGGACGAAAATTTAGAGAGCACGCAACCTTATCTGGTTCCCTAGGATGCGGGGCAAGCACAAGCAAGCAGATGGGCACCGCGCTGCATTTGATCCAAGGTCCCCCTGTCCCCTGAAATAGAAACACGCACATGTTTTTCCCCGAGATAGAAAACAGCCGGGAAAAATTGACGACATCACATCAGACAGAACAGGAAGAGTCTCTGGGGAGTTGAAAACCATGTCGTATCTAGAGAGCAAGACGTCTAAACAGCAGTAAGTGCGCAACAGCAACTTGCCTCAAAAATTTTCGGTCCGAACTGTCTTGACAACAGAGTCGCCGAGAGGTGAGCGCTCAAAAGCACCATCGCCAACAGTCCCAGGGATATCAGCCGGTACACCATCAGCATCAGGTGGCGAAGCACCCGCGCTCTAGCTGAGAAGGCACGCTTGTCGATGTGGTCAATCTGTGTCATGCATGAGGAAATCCGTTCACGGTAGCACCGGAGGGAGCGGGAGGAAGGGCAGAGGGTGGTTACCTGTGACTTCCGAGTGATCGTTCTTCGCACGGCACATGTGGTAAGTGATGGAAGGGGGCGCTGGGGGAGGCGTCCGCTTGCTAAAGGGTGAGGGATTGTCCTTGTCCGACGCAGACAAGATTGGGTGCCCCACGGCTGGAGGGAGGGAGGTACTGTGGAACGTTGGCAATGTTTCACTCCCCCTGCAAACCACATTGCTGCCTGGCGCGAGGGTCCGGTAAACAGGCTCTATATGACCTACCCCTATTGAAGAGGCCTTTCGGACCTGCAACTGCTGTTCGCGTTGCTACTGCCTTCGAGAGATGGACGTCTGAGCGCATTGCAGAGCGAACAGCAGTTCTCTGAATGTTCCTCCCCCGACATGTTACGCCCGCGGTCCGTCGATTTCACGGGAGGAAACGCCTGTGCTGCCAAAGATGGCGCTGAGCACACGAAAGCTAGCGTACGACGAAAGCTAGCGCACGGAGAGCACCCAAGCTAGGGTAGAGCGCCGGTAACCTCCGCCCTGCAAAAGAAAAGAAGGCGCTTGCTTGCTCTCCTGCGCAGTCCAGCCCCTCGACACCCGTCCGCGATATACCCAGCTCAAAGTGGCAGCAGGATGCTTCAGGACGGAGGGGCGGGGGGGGGTACTCAGAGTCGAGCATGCCGTAGTCGTCAGGCCATTGACCTCGCACTCCAGCAAAGCCGAGACGGAGCACGCCGGGTTCTCGCCGGACTAGCCTGAGGGGGGGGGGGCTACCCACAACAGCAGCAAAACAAAAGCCGCATCACATCACCGTACCCATCCACTCGGCCTCCACGCACCTCCTCCTCCAACTCAAGCACGCGGGTCTGCAGCTCCCTTGCTGCCTCCCCTTCATCCTGCTGCTGCAGCTTCTGGCGGTCTCGCCGGAAGCCCCCCGCGCCTTCCGCCAGGTTCGCCGAAGGTTTCTGTTCCATGTGAAACGAGACCATTAGAACCATACGCCGTTGATGGCGAGGGCAGGGACTAGTTGGTGGCGTAGGCAGGCATTGCAGCTGTGAGACTAGATATCAGCGGCTTCTGGCGGCATAGTCTGTGGGGCTATTGTACACTGTAGCTAACCAAACGGCTACTGTGACGGCTGCGAAGCACTTGTCCGCCTAGATGGTCTTGTAAGCTTGCCAACGGCCACGTCAGACGACAGACAGCAGTAGCAGTGTTGAGCACACGAAGGGGACTTACCATTTGGCCTTTCGCTCACCTCAGTGGCGACCGGGTCGGTGCGGGAGAGACAAGAATCGCAAGCCCTCTGCCCGTCAACCTTGGCAGCGCTGCAGTCTTCGCAAACAACCCGGCCGCAAAAGCGGCAGTGGTGACGCCAGCGTAACACCTTGACGGACACAGCATCGAAGCACCGGCGTCCAAAGTGCGGAGGGGGGGGGGGAACGTTTGGTTGCCAGCACACGCTGCGACGCCTCAAACAGGGTGCATGCCATCAAGGTGCATACCAAGCACCACCTGCACTTCGTCGGGCTCCTTTGAACGGATGAAACCTCTTGCGTGATGGAACCTCGGGTGTTTTCCATCAATGTGTTCGTTTACGCACTCACTACTTGTGCCACCCGCAATAGCACTTACTCCTTGATGGGGCCGGACCCGCATTTGTGCCCTGCAGTGCAGCGTGTCATGCCGATGCTACTGCTGCTGCTGCTGCTGCTGCTGAGGGGAAAATAGTTCCAAAGACTCATAGCGGCAAACATGACTTGGTTGTGTTTGAAGTGTCACGAGGAAACCAAAATGGCCGCGCGTGACGTCATGTAATCAGTCGAGTACTGCCAAAGGTGACGCGGGAATCAATCTTGTACATGCGAACCCACCGTGAAATCCCTTCGGCAGACAGCACACCGCTTGACGTCCTCATCTTTCTCCCACTTGCCCCTGTCGACTGCCTGCGGCCTATCGGGGGTGGCGGCTTGTAGCGCCATAGCCTTCCGTATCCAATGCCCGAGCTTGATGCCAAGGCTCATCTCTCCCCGAAACTTGAGCTTGCCGGTTAGCATGGCCGCGCGGGGACCTATGCGCCTTCCGCAGGTCGGGAGGGGGGGGAGGACATGTTCAGAGGCGGGCAGTCGGAATATAGCGAGAAATCGGAGACTGGCTCGTGGGCGTCGCAGGAGTGCAGTTCGGGGAGAAGACCACCCCTCTCACACGTTCACCACCCTTCTGCGTAGCAATGACCTTGGCCAGATACTTACAAACCTCGCCATCGCCAGCGTAAATACCTGCATACACCGTCTCTTTCACCACACCCTGCAGCAGCAGCAGCAGCAGCAGCAGCAGTTTAGCGTAGGCTGGTACGTCGTGAATGACAGCATTGCCGGTTGGAAAGCAGCGGCCTTGGTCCCGAAATTCTTCCTCTTTCTCGTCCACCGGACCAACTCTGTACCTCCGACCACAACGCACATCGCTCGCACCCAGCATCGACACCCACAACGTGTAAACAAAACGTGAACACATACGAAAATACAATACAACATCCTTTAATACCTACCTAAAGCAGTAGCATATGTACAATGCGCCCGATCTCCGCAGAACCGCCATGTGGGGCCAGGCGATCCAAATAAAATACATTTAACCCTCCTGGTAGGCCTATTTACCGCACCGGAGTAACCCGAGGCCCCAATGGGTGAAACGCACGTGAGAACTCTTGGTCTATCATGCTTGGCTGAGGGGGTACGCTGTGTGATATGCCGTGTGATGCCTCTCCTAGGCCTCTGACTTGCTGTACACATCTCCCAAGCCGCGCATCCTCTAGGTCGTACAACTGTACATCGCGTGGCTTCAGAATGAAGAGTGTCCCCACATGTTTTGGGAACACTTTTCATACTGAACCAAACCACCCGTTGTCTTGAAGGCAGCTTAGATTCTGTGCAGGGACTATAGTCCCTCGACCAATGGCTGACAAACATTTTTGCCACATTTTTTTTTGCGGAGGGACTGGATATTACTGCTGTAGGAGGGCTAACACCGCCGAGAAGACTTGTACCCGTTCGAGTTATTCCCATGTGAGGTACCTCAAGTCTTTCGGCAGCAGTAGTGAGGGTCTAGTGACACCTGCTGGCAGTGTTAAGAGATTGGAGTGCGCGGCATATTTTTGTTGGCCGGGTACACGAAACCCAAATTTGCAACGCCTGACAAATATCCATAAAATGACTGGAGTTTACAACGGACGACACCCTCGCCACAGAGCGAAGCCAACGAAGGAAAAAAATGACAGCTGTTATATACTACTGGTGATACCAAGCAGGTTATGCCAAAGCATGTCATCCTCTTGGGGGGTCCCGATCCGACCTTCCCCAACAGAGATCGATGTCGCCAACTACGATATATGGAAAATTGAGCACGTGACATTCTACGTAGAAAGCAGAAGATCAAATATCCCGCCGCCACGCACACCGCAACATGCCCACACTCTCTGTGTCAGATGAACCCCGCGATGAGCAAATCTCTGAATTCTCCGTCCACAGACCTCCAACGGGAGTTATGGCGGGTGCTATAAAAAGCCCACAACCTTAGCTTGTTGTATCATTAGCAGTTCTCAGTCCAAAGCGACCTACCCAACACGGCCACGCCGTCAAGTACACAGGGGTTTGACCGGTTGAAGCTCTGAGCAGGTCGGCCGTCGCGGCGCTACAACACACCCGCACGTTACGGGTAGCTGAGAGGTAAACAAACTCCAAAAACTCTTTTGGCTCTAGGTTCTGGGTTTTATCTATCTGCGAGAAGGAACACTGGCCATGTACGGTGTGCATACGACTGCTGTACTGGCGCAGACTATTTACGTTGAAAAGTGAAAAGCGGACTGTGATTGTAGGGAACAGTGAGCAAGTCCTTCCTTCCCGCGCGATAAGAAATTGAAGGCACGCACGGAAGAAGGTGGGGAAGAAAAATAAACAGCCCGCTGTTTCATTTGGCTTCCTCCTGTGCGGTCTCGCGTCGTTTGATGTGTCGAACAAGCACTGAGAGGTTACACTGGCGCCCAGATGGCAAGAAAAGATACAATCGCAGCACACACATGATGTTGAAGGGGAAACGGCACACCTCATTCTCGTCTGCGGAACGACCGACCGACTCACCTACAGCGTACCACGTCAGGAAATGTTCACACTCACTGGAGGACTGACGGTGAGTGGATGGTGAACGATAGAATTGTTTGGCGCATCTTGTGGTTTGTAACAGGGGGAGCTCACACGACTGCCACATCAGACCATCACCCTCTGCGCTGGCGAACAGCTGCCGTTTCGTGTGGCCAACTTTCAACGGCAAGGGTTCAATAACTGCTCACAACAGCCTCTAATATTGCGCACAAAGAGTATAACGGCTTCTATCGTCGCACATGTAAGTAACTCACTCATGAGCAAGCCCGAGGAACACCTCTTCGGACGCATAGGTGAGGTGGAGCCTGGCCCGCAAGACTTCCGGCGGCGAGGCCTCTGTGTACTTCCCCGCGGTGTCGAGGACGCACTCGTACGGGTAAGGGTTGCCGTTGATGGTCACGTGGATAGCGGCGGCCTGCTCAACCACGCCCGTTCCTGATTCGTCGGCGGCGATCTTCGCTGCTGCTCTCAGCACGCGCTCAGGTTCGGTAGCCATGGCTCCGGCCACACGCAGCAGTCTAAGGCAACGACACAGAAGTGCACGGGCTAGCACGGCGCTGGCGGGGGGTACCGTGTTTCAATATCCCGGGCCACCCCCGGGCTGCGGCACTGCAACACAACAAAAATATCCGTCCCGCTTTGGTTTGAATTTTGAAAACACTACAGGCAGTTGTCACAACATTCAGGTGAGGGATCCCGTGTGTTGCTGAGTTTCCCACAAGCAGCTGTTAAGCGAATTTTGTCTACGGCCAACGTATGTCGAGACTTGGTGTAGTGCATGCCTGGCGCACCCAAACATAGCACGCCAAACTCGGTGGCCGAAAAGTACACCTCCCCCCGAGATACTCTCCATCGACCCCCCGCTTCAACACCCGAGCCGATCTGAGCGTAGAGCCAGTCACGTGGAGCCTGCGTTGCGTCTCACGGACGGCCATAGCTGGAGAATCCACTAGGTTTTCCTGGTAACATGCACTTTGCAAAGTCCCCGTGCGTTTTTCCGAGATCACCCGCCCCTCCTCTCCACGCCAATCCCGGCCTCTGTATGGCATCCACTTCGCATCGGGACTTTGTACAAACTCCCAAGAGATGTTCTCGGCCGCACGCGACACACCGACGCAGTTACTCTCGGGCGCTGTTCATGAGGGCAGGCGGTGGTGGGAGAAGGAGGCCTTCCGCACGCGGGAGCGCAATAAGCTCGGATTGGGTTGAGCTGGAAGGAGATTCTATTGTCGGAGAGGCGACAGCTAACATGCGGCTTGCTGATGCCGGTGATGGGGCAGAGGATAGTGACGTCCCTAACACTGTTGACTACAATGGCGAGGTGGGCGTTGATTGAGGACGCGGCAGTATTGGGGGTAGACTGCGGAGGTACTCTGTTCATCAGGTTGTTCTGTAGCGCTCTCTGTATTTTGGGAGCCAAAGTCGCCTCACTATGCTCGTCTCTCGGCCGTTACCTTGCCCACTTTGGTTCCATGCACATAACAAGCGACCTCTTTATATGTGGACTACCGCATGACAGCCAGAGTCGACACATGAGCAAGCAAGTGACAGCAAGTGAGGGATCAAGCCTGTTGTGCAGCAGCAAGGCGCGTGTGCGTTCGTGCTTATTTTCGCTCTCTTTGCGGCGCGGAGACACTTGGCAGTCCGAGAGACAAGTTAGGTCACATTTTATCAGCGGCACGCCGGGATGCAAGCATGTTCACTTCTAGCGACCGTACGGGTGTGGGAAAGGAAGAAGATATTGGTTTCAACCGGAATGTTGCCCGAAGATAAAAACAACCCACCCTGCTCCTCCAAGACGTTTCCCACACGCTGAAACGTGAACATTCCTCTCTTCTCGTTGACAAAGTCCAAAACTTGTTGGCCGTCGCTGCCCTTTCTTCTGCAGTGTTCGTCTCGCGCCACGTAACTTAACTTGCTGTGAAAGTATAGATCGCATGTACGTGTGCTTAAAAGGGTCGAGTGAATGTTTCCTCCTTTAGTAGGATCGCCAACCACTTGGTGCTCTGGGGCCCCCGCCCCGGATCTCACTCTCGGCCCCTTCGAACGCTCCCCCGCCCAAACAACAGACGCTGACGTTTGGCGACTACCGCCGCCCTTCGCTGCTTGAGTCCTGCGTTTTGGCCCTGGCGGCCGTTGGTCCGGTGGGGTGGAAGACTCTCTCGACGTTTCGGAAATCGCGTCGAACGTGGGCTAAGGTTGCGGTGGCCATAGTCGCTCCGGCAGTTGCCTGGGTTGTGCGATCCGTCCTCGGCTATCTCTACAGGTGATTTGCATTCTTGAGCTTTCGGGTGGAGGAAGGGGAAGACTCTTCTGTATGTGTGCGCGACAGCATGTTCCCGGCAGAAACACCACGCCTTTTTGGTGCGTGTTGTTTGGTTGTGTTTGCTTCCCTGGTAAAACAAGCCCTTTGCCGTGCCTGCCGCATTGCAGGAACGTAATCTATTATTTTGCCGCTGCTTCCGACCTGTCCCGGGTACATGCCGCTCTTCGCGCTCTATGTTGCGGCCCGGCGTCTTTTCTTCGTGTCCTAGGTCCTAGACCCTTCGCAGGGATAGCTCGGTGTGTCCTCCTTGACCTATCTTTCATGATCGTAGCTTTTTCCACCCCGGCTCTATCGAGGCCTGTTCCGATACCCCACCGGGAACAAATGTTTCGTCCTCTCAAGGACGACGCGTAGTCTAACAACTAAGCCATGCAAAACATTTGCACGCCCCCCCCCCCCCCCCCCCCNCCCCCCCCCCCCCCCCCCCCCCAGGGAGATCGTCCTTCAGCCGAAGCTGAGATCTCCGGAGAGCGTGGCCTTCCCCAACAGCCGCTTCGAAGACGTGGGCGGGCTCAAGGTCCACTACCTGCGGGAAAACCCTACCAGCGTCGATGGGACGCCCGTGCCGGCGCGGCGTGTCCTCCACATGAACCACGGCTTCGGGGCGTCGTCGTCCTCCTGGTCCCCCGTGATTCGGAGACTCTCCCGCGACCTCGGCGCCTTGGCCATCGCGCACGATACCCCCGGGTTCGGGCTGACTGGTCGTGTCGGTCTGTTGGAGGCGAACCGGTACTCTCTTCGGAGCAACGCAGGTAGGCGGGCGAGGACGCACGCGTCCTAGAGAGAGTCTTGGAGATGGGCAGGCG